ATAAAACAAATAATATTGGAAACTTAATATACCAAAATATATGGATACAGCAAAATCATTACTAAGAGAGAAGCTTATAGCAATAAACTTCTATATCACAAAGTAGGAAGACTCCAAATAAACAACCTATCAACGTACTTCAAGGAACCAGAAAAGAACAAACAAAATCCCCAAATTAGCAGAAGGAAAGGAATAATAAACATCAGAGCAGAAATAAATAATATTGAGACAGAAAAAAAGTACAAAAGACGAACAAACTGAAAAACTGGTTTCTTGAAAAGATAAATATCACCAGGTAATCCCAGCACTTTGGGAGGTGGAGGCGAGAGGATTGCTTGAGCCCAGGGGTTTGAGACTAGCATGGACAATTTGGTGAGTCCTCGTCAGCTCTACAATCAACCAAAAACTTAGCTGGATGCAGTGGTACACATCGGTGGTTCCAGCTACTTGGAAGGCTGAGGTGGAAGGATTGCCTGAGCTCAGCAGGTCCAGACTCTGGTGGCTGTGAGGATGCCACTGCATTCCAGCCTAGGCGACAGCGTGAGTCTTTGACTCAAAAAAAAAAAAAGACAAATACCAACAAACTGTTAACTTACTAGGAAAAGAAGAGAGAAGACCCAAAGAAATAAAGTCAGAAACAAAAACAGAGAAAGGACTGATACCACAGAAGTACAAATGATTGTTAGTGACTCTTATGAACATCTACACACAAACATATTGGAAAACCTAGAAGAAGCTGATCAATTCCTGGACACATACAACCTACCAAGATTGAACCATCAAAAAAAACAAAACACCGCCAGACTCGGTGGCTCAGCCTGTAATCCCAGCACTTTGGGAGGTTGAGGTGAGTGGATTGCCTGAGCCCGTGGGTTCGCGACCCGCACGGGCAACTTGGCGAGACCTCATCACTACAATAAATGAAAAATTAGCTGGGCATGGTAGCGCGTGCCTTTAGTTCCAGCTACTTGGAAGACTGAGGCGGAAGAATTGCCGGAGCCCAGCAGGTCGAGGCTGCAGTGGCTGGGAGCAGCCACTGCACTCCAGTCTGGGTGACAGAGTGAGACTTCAACTCAACAACAACAACAACAAAAACCTGAACAGACCAATAATGAGTAGTGACATTTAACAGAAAGAACTAATATCAATTCTTCTCAAACTAGACAAAAAAACCTGAAGAGAAAAAATATATCCAGGCTCATTTTTCAAGGCCAGAATTGCCCTGATATAAAAACTAGACAAGGACAAAACAAAATAAAAAAGGAAACTACAGGCCAATATTCCCACTAAATGTATATGTAAAATCCTCAACAAAATGCTAACAAACTAAATATAATAACACAGTCAAAAGATAATTTACCATGATCAAGTGGGATTATCACAGGGATGTAAGGTGGTTCAACACGTACAAATCAATAAATATGATACATCACATTAACATAAAGGACAAAAACCATGTGATCATTTCAATAGATGCTGAAAAAAGCATTTGATAACAGTCAACGTTCTTCTATGATAAAAATTTCAACAAATGGTTAGAATAAACATACCTCAAAATGATAAAGGCCATTATGACAAAACCATAGCTAGCATCATACTGAAGGGGGCAAACTGAAAGTCTTTCCTCTAACCTCTGGAACAAAAAAAGGATGCCCACTTTTTAATTAAATACAGTAATGCAAGTGCTAGCCAGAGCAAATTAGGCAAGAGAAATAAAGGACACTAAAAATGGAAAGGAAGAGGTAAAATTATCCTTGCTCACAAATGACATGATCTTATATTTAGAAAAACCTTTCCACCAAAAAACTGTTAGAAGTGATAAATCAATTCAGTGTAGTTCCAGGACACAAAATTAATATACAAAAAATCAGCAGCATTTATATATAGCAACAGTAACTAATCTGATAAAGAAATCAATTCCATCTACAATAGCTACAAAAAATATAAAATGTCTAGGAATAAATTTAACCAAAGAAGTAAAAGATCTCTCTACAATGAAAACTATAAAACACTGATGAAAGAAACTAAGAGGACACACAAAAATATGGAAACCTGTATCTCATGCTCAATTAATTTTGTTAAAATGTCTATACTATGTAAAGTGATTTAAATATTCAACGCAATTCCTATCAAAAGACCAATGACATTCTTCACAGAAATAGAAAAACAATCCTAAAATTTGTATGGAATCACAAAAGCCTCCAAATAACTCAAGTCATCTTGAGCAAAAACAACAATGCTGGAGGTATCACATTACCTGACTTCAAAATACAGTACAAAGCCCTAATAACCAAAACAGCATGGTTCTAGCATAAAAACAGACATATATAGCAATGGAACAGAATAGAGAACCCAGAAATACATTCACATATTTACAACCAAATCATTTTCAACAAAGGTGCCAAGAACATACACTGGGAAAAGGACACTTTTCAAGAAATAGTGCTGGAAAAACTGGATAACCAAATGCAGAAGAATGAAACTAGACCTCTATTTCTTACCATACACAAAACCCAAAATGGATTAAAGACACAGATTTAAGATCTGAACCTATGATACCACTGGAAGAAAACATACGGGAAATCCTTCAGGACATTGATCTGGGCAAAGATTTTGGAGGTAAGACCTCAATAGCACAGGAGCTACAGCAAAAGTAGATAAAGGGGGTTATATCAAGCTAGGAAAATCAAAAAAGTGAAGAGACTACCTACATAATGGGAGAAATTATTTACAAACTATTCTTCCAACAAGGGATTAATAGCCAGAATGTAGAAGGAATTCAATTTGATATTTAAAGAAACCACTCCGATTAAAAAATGGGTAAAAGATCTAAATAGACATTTCCCAAAAGACATACAAATGGCTAAATACTATATTAAAAAATGCTCATCTTCATGAATTATCAGGAAAATGCATATCAAAACCACAATCAGACATCTCATCTCAGTTAGAATGGCTTTTATCAAAAAGACAAAAAATAATAAATACTGGCAAGAATGTAGAGACAGGGGAACTCTCACACACTGCTGGTGAAAATGCAAATTAGTATGGCCACTAGAAAAAACTGCATGGAGGTTCCTCACAAAACTATAAATAGAGCTATCATATGACCCAGCAATTCCACTGCTAAGTACACATCCATAGACAAGAAATCAACATACTAAAGAGATATCTGCAACCCCGTATTTATTGCAGTACTATTTACAATAGCCAAGAATCAACCTTAGGTATCCATCAGTGGATGAATGGGTAGAGGAAAACAAATACACACACACCTGAATATTATTCAGTCATAAAAAAGCATGAAATCCTGTCATTGGTAGCAATATGGATGGAATGGAAGGTCATTATGTTAAGTGAAATATGCCAGGCACAGAAGACAAATATCACATGTTTTCACCCATAAATGGGATGTTAAAAAAGTGGATATCATAGAAATAGAATGCAGACTGGTGGTTACCAGAGGCTGGGAAAGGTATGTGAAAGATAGAGATGAAGAGGTTTATCAATAGCTATGAAAATACAGTTAGAGGAGTAGCATCTAGTTAGTTCAGTGGTTGTGGTGACTATAATTAACATTTTATTGTACATTTCCAAATAGTTAAAAGAGTTCAGATGTTCCCAGTAGGAAGATAAATGTTTGAAGTGATGGCTATTCCAACTACCCTGATTTGATTATTACACAATGTATGAATGTTATAAAAATATTATATGTACTCTCCAAATATATACAACTATTATGTATCAATAAAAAAGGAATCTAAAACCGGATGATGTGACAATGAGGGCATGTGTATTTGCAAGTTGGAGAAAGATTGGAATTTTAAAACAAAGGTGTACAAAACATATCTGTAACAAAAATGACAACTAAGACCAGAGTCTTGAAAAGAAGGATCTGGCTAAAATAAAATGTCTTCCTTCTCTACCTAATCAATTTAGAAAATGCCAGCAAATTCAGTATATTAACAATGAACAAACATTAGGGCAGCTTAATATAAAAAGCCACCATGGGTCCAGGAAATACCTACTTGCTTTTATCCACAAACACACAAAAAGCCCAACTTTACTATAAAATAAGATGCACAATTTTCTTGCAAGTTATTTCCTATCAGAGAGATGTAGATTTCTATAATTAATTCATTTAATTAACAAAAGATAATGTTCCATAATGGATGTAAGCTCACAGAAAACTCTACTTGGACTCCAAGTAGGAAAGAACCAAGTGTTATACCTATCTATACCTGAGTGACAGAGGTTTGGAAGCCTTTAAGAAGTCCCATTTCAAGTGACTCTTGGCTTTTAGCAACAACAACAAAAAATAAATTACTTTGATTTCAGGACCTGGAGGTCAATTTTTCTTATAAGACAGGAAAAAAAAAAGACAGGAAAGTTGTCTTAAGATTAAGGCTCAGGAAATGGTACTAGAAATTAGAAAAGCACTGTTAGGTGGGTTCACTTTATACATAGTAGAACCTAAGTCTAACTTTTACATCTTTATTTTATTTTATTAACTTTTACATCTTATGTTCAATGTGCTAGCTTTACATATTTTCCAGTTATTAAAATAAAATGGGCATACACATTGCTTGAAATAATCTTGCTTACTCTTACTAGTATGCATAACACATTTTTGGGAAAAATTGTCTAATTATCCATAAAACCTATAAAATTGGTTCATCTTTCTCTTTGTTTTGCACCTTCTGTGAAGAAGGAAGTAAAAAGAAAGCAATGCAACCTTAAAAGTAACCTCAGCAAATTTGTGAGGATCTTGTGGGAAAAAATGTCATTTAAAAAGAATATTCTAGTTTCATAGTCAAGATTTATTTATTAGTACACAAAATGCACTGCAAATTATGGCTAACCGATACTTAAAGGTGCCACAAGGTTAAGAAAATTTCCTAACTTGACTATATGAAGTTACGATGTCAAACAAAATAATTCTGCATATTAACTTTCTCTAGTACCAAAAACTACATAAAGCATCTAACAAAAATACTTACATTTGAAGGTTTGAGTTTGTTAATGATTGTTGTTTTGCCACTGTTATCCAGCCCAAGGCACAAAACATGAACTTCCTTCTTCTTCAGGCCAAGCAAACCCGAAAGTTTGTCTAGTAATCCCATACTATGATATTCACAAACCAGCTGCAAGTCATAATAAAATATGTATTACCCCGAGGCACCTTAAGTATGAGAAATATTGGTTCATGTATTAAAAAGTCAGTTATTTAAAGACACATAATGATAGTGTGAAAACTATGTCAATGTAGCTTTGCACTTAGTAAACAGAGCATAAGCTGATTACCAGAAAGGAGCCTTAACTGATATGCAGATTTGCAGCTTATAATACCCTGGCAACACCGAATAATGCCTTTGCAATAACTACATTTCTCACTGTAATTCATAATGTTTAAAAGAAAACGTGGCCAGCCTAAGTATCATGTGGAGTCTGCCAGTTATAATACCTGAAAGTATCTTTGAACTAGGAGTTCAAAGAACTTTCAGGTATTATAACTGGCAGACTCCACATGAAATCCGCAATGGTACAGGCAATAGAGTTCCCATAGAGTCTGAAGCCGAAGCTTAGAAAGTAGAAGGCAGACTAGAAAAGTAGAGAAATCCTGAGATGTTGGTACAGCATTTGAGCCTCTGACTAAAACTTTTTATGAAATCAGCCCCACTGCTATATTTTGCAATAATATGAAGTTATAATAAACTCACTGTTTTGTTTGTTTGCTTGACTACTTCCAGTTTGGTCAGGGTTTTCTATCAGTAGAAGTGAAGAATCTTGATATACTTAGCCTTATGGCCCTTTAGCCCTTACATCTATGTTTGTAAATCTCCACAAATTTGTTTGGGAAGAAGGTTATGCACACACATATACAATTTTACTGAACTTTACCAGATATCTGTTTTCTTAACTGTAACATCTTAAACATCTACTATTATTTTAAAAGAACTTTATCATACCAGTATAGAATAAGAAAATACATATATTGTATTTAGTGTTTTCAAATACTGTAAAAGTTTCTTTGCTAATTTGTCCCTGAAGTGTTCATTTTGTTTGTTCAATTTTATCAAATCTAAGGAAGAAAAATTATTTCTAATGTAAGCTTTAAAAAAATTCCAACAGCAATCCAAAGAGGAGTGTATCTTAGTCAAATAAAACCGTTGTGGACATATTGCATGCTGTGTGGTAACTTTATGGTTATGCATATTCATCTAAAGTACTGTTTAATTTACATCTCAAGTTTCCAAGCTAAACTTTTCATTTTAAATCCATCACTCCTCAAAACATGACTATGTGGCAGGAGGACAAAGACATCCCTTTTGCCAGCCCTCAACTGCTGCAGAACCAATCACAATATACTTGTGTACCAAATATACCCTGTGACTCTCTGCATATTCATTTTCACAGTTCTCTAAATACTAATTTCATTAAATTGACTTATTCCCATTTCCATCTAAGGTTCCACAAGACTGTCTTATTACAATTCCTTCAGTATTCTTTATTCCATACCACCCAAGCAAGGCCATACCTTAGAATGTGAGGCTGCAGCAACTTGACTAATAAGAGGCTTCCTAGAAAACTGTATCTGAAAGTGGGTTGCACAGTTGACATTTTGCTGAGGGCTCTTGGGAGATCATTATGGGTAAAAATTTCAGAACTGGATTTCAACGACATGCAGAAGATCCCCAAGGGTGGGCCTATAATAGTCACATTTGTCTTACCCAAAGGTTTGTTTGATCTCAGGTACTTCCATTTGTGCCATTTGAATCTATTTTCTCCTTGTATTAGAGATTCAAATCTTAAATTCAAACCATTCCTTTAAATCTCAGCTTAGGGACTAGCATTTGTAGAATCTATTTTAAATTAACTTTCTAATATAATGAAACAACTCACACAGACCATCATAGTTCAAAGTAAATTTGCGATTTCTCACATTATTTACTGCAGTAAACATACTGATATAAACACTTATCACTTGTTTTCCATTTTCCATACAATTTCGAACATGTTAAAAAAAATTGATCCCTTCCCACATCTTTCCCTTCTAATAATCTACAGCCTGATGCATGAATATTCATCTTTCAAAGTACCCTGTACTGTGACTTTCTATGCCTTTTTCATGGCTTACCAAACGCCTGATTCTTGTTACTAAAATATTTTGGGACATCAGTTTTTCTACAAGATGTAATCACATTTATTGCAGTTATTCTATGAACAATTATCATATAGCTCTATATACATTTCTATTTTTTGGTAACTGTAATTTTCCTTCTATAAACTTATTTTCTGCGTGCATAAATGAATAAAATAAACGACAATTCAAGCCACTCAACATCTATGGACTATGTCATAAGTGCACAGTGGGAGATACAATTGTTTTCTGCAGAGTCCTACTAGTATGGCCATGATTCTCAAACCTGGTTGCACTCTGGAAACAACTGTTGAGTCAGAATATTTGAGAAAGAGATCAGAGACTCTGTAGCTGCAAAAGCTACACAGTATTTCTTATGTGCAGTCACTATGGAAACTACTGCTTTTCAGAATAAAGTTCAAACTTCCAAGCATAGATTTTAAGGTTGTTCACAATCTGGTTTGAATCGACCTTTCCTATTTCTTATCTTACTATGTACCCCTCCTTGCACACCAGCCAAATTCTCTTGGCTGTTTCCTAAAGGAAACTGTTTCCTAAAGGATTAGATGTTGCCGGGAAAAGTCCAGAAGAATTAGGATGTTATCCACAGTCAATAGCTAAGAAGGTAAGCTGCAGAGAGAGAATGAGAGAGTGGTCGGGCAGAGAAATCATGAATGGTACTCTGCAAACTTTAAACGTGCTTGCTGACTGAATTATTGCATACTCCTGCCACTCTAAATAAATAAGCATTCGGCTCTCAGTTTCTGATGCTGACATTCCAATTACACTTTCCACACACGCACACCAAATTAAAGAGGTTCAAGTCGGGCGATGTTAAAAAACCAGCCAAACAAACAAACAAAAACTCGCCCAGACCAGTTCAAGACGTTTGCTAGGGCCCCTATCACCAACCGCATCAGCACACGTCGTTTTCACTCGCACACGGTAGCAACAACTAACCGCGGGGAGGGAAAGAGCAAAGAATTCTAAAACTGACGGGGGAAGGTGCGGGTGGCCGGGTGGCCGCTGGCGACCGAAACCTGGGCCGGGGAGGTACCTGCTGTTCGAGGTTAGTCGGGCGGCCCCGGGAGAATTGGCGAGACACAGGAAAGGACGCACTCGCTCGTGTCCGTCTCTGGGATGGAAATGTGGCGCGGGTGTGCCTCAGACTTCTTCTCTACGCCTCCATAGGAAAGATCTCCCGTGCTGAGCAAAGCAGCCTCTACAAGTTGCGAGAACCGCCGCCTCCGCATCAGCCAGAGCATCAGGGGCTGAGCAGGCGCCTTGGCACGCGCCGTTCCCTTGGCAACAGGAGCCTCTTCCGGTCCCGAGGCCACGCCCCCTCCGGGGCGGGGGGGGGGGAGGGGCGGATTCTCCGCGGGTGAGCCGCCGCGCTCTAGCTTCTGGGATTGTTGCGAAGCTCCGGAAAAAGGCCAGAGGCCGGCCGAGGAACGCTGTAGGAAAGAAGGCGTGCGCACAAGGGTTGGGGTGAGCGGCCGATGGCCTGCGAGGAGCCTCGTGGCTCCGAGTGTGGCATGATGGGAGTTGTAGGCG